TATATATATATATATAATTGCTCTATTCATATAATCATCATAAAATCAAATCAATTTACAGTGATTTGTAAATTGTGTGATTTAATAGTGAGTTATCCTGTTAATCTAGATTATGCATATTACTACTACAGATCAATTTACACATATGAATTTACTTTCTTTGCCTGTATTATCTTGTGACTGATAAGCCATGGCTATATAAAAAAAATATGATCATTGTATTTCTAGTTAATCTTGTATATAAACCTGAAATATAATTTGTAGCAATCTAATCTGATCCTTATAAATCTACTACTATAAAAACTACGTAATTTCATAATAATTACGTATTCATCAATTAATTTTAGAAATAACCATGTTTATCACAAAACAGTGTCAATTTTCATAAAAATTAAGGACTTAAAATCATAAAATTCTGTATCAGAATTGTTACAACACTGAAGGAAAATAAAGACAATAGTAATTCAATTTCAGTTACATAAATGTAATTATAGAAAAAAATATTATTTCCAGAATACCATATATATATATGAAACTATTCATATTCATTATCAAATTTATTTTGATTTATACTGCATGTATTTAAATTTTAATGAAAAAATAAATGTCCAGGACAAGTTATTAAATAACAATTTGAGTATGTGCATTAACAAAATAACAAAAAATTTTTAATTTTTTTATATTGAGCTTTTTTTATAAATATAAAAATAAAATTTTAATTTAACCATTTAATATTACAAAATAATATACCTATGATCAGAATAAAGTTTTGAAAAATTTGACACTGGTTGAGATGGATTTTCAAGATTCATTTTCTTCGTCCGTGAAGCTAGTTCATCAACACTCTCTATTAGTGATGGCAAAATATTATGATTATTTTGTACTACATGATAAATGGCTTCTGCTGGAGAAAAAGGTGATGGCTTTCTGGGGAAAACAAATAATATGTTCTATATTACAATTTATTATGGTTATTATTGTCACATATACTAGTTAAACAGAACATATACTACACTATAAATACTAAATAATATCAAGCTGTAAAAGTAAAATTTAAGCATTTTGAAAAAATCTTTGACAATTAAATCAACAATTACAGTCCAGTCTTATAGTTAATGAATTTAATCATCAATATCAATCACATATCAGCACTTTTGTTGCAAGCTCTAAATCCTGTGAGCAAAGAAATGACTGGTGTTTTTCTTTGAAGAATGACTTGTGTGTTTCTCTCACATGGTCATTGTCATTTAACTGTATATTGGCAATATGGTTCTGCAAAGTAAACTGAGATGTAAGTTGGATGAGGCAGAACCTCCCAGCTCAGACTAGCCAGCTTCTCTAAGTTCATATTTGATTTATATTCTGGCATGTGGTGGTGGTGGTGGTGTTGGATGTTATCAATTTTTTGGGTGAAGTTCTTTGATCTTGGTGTTTAAACGATCCAGCTGTTCACAGTAGTTATTTTGTAACAGTGGTATTGTCTCCGAAGGTCACTCCATCATGATGACATCACATTCATTCCACCAAAAACAGACCACCACCTTCTGCAACAGTTGGTGATTTTTTTCCACCCAAGAATGTTTGAAAGTTACATTGTAGTGTAAGACCCACTTCTCATCTCCACTCCCAATTGATTTGAGCCAGCTGAATGTGCAATACTTGATGAGCAATGAATTGCTCACCAAGTATTGCATATTGTGACTCATCATATTTTGTTTGCAGCAGTCAATTCACAATGCAACAACTTGCCTACTTTGTTCATCTTGCCAAGAGCATGAGAATGATTGGTGATGGTTGTATGGGAATATTCAAAGTTGTTGTGCTAATTCTCTGATGGTCAACCATGGTTTATTGTCTATCAATTGCAGGAGAATGTCATCATGGTGAAATTGCTGCCTGAATGAATTCATCTTAAAGTTCAAAATCTCCATCCTCGAATTTCTTGAATCACTTGTTACAGGACTTTCTGTTGACTGTGTTCTTACAGTATGCCTTGTAGATGAGATTGTAAGTCTTTGTTAATTAGGCCACTGTTAAACTGATAGAGCAACAGCACACAAACATTCTCTTTTGAAAGTTTCATATTGTCAGACAGTGATGATGCAATAAAATATGTGATGAAATACCCTTTATTCCATTTTTAGCTACAATCTCTGGATCATCAAATACCTCTATTATAACAAATTAACACCATTGAATTTAAACAATGATGTCATAATTACAGAACCCATTAATTATCTAATTTATTTACTTATACTTATATACTTATTTAATAAAAAAAGTTGTCAGGACAAATAAGTTTAAATTTAGAAAATTTATTTAAAAATTCTCCACCCTGAGATTATTAATTCTTGATGTGAATGAAATGAACAATGTTTCAGGACATTTTTTATGTATTGTCTCTTTTGAGAATTTAATAAATTTTGTAAGTTTTTACTTATTTAAATTTAATGTAATAAAGATATATATAAACAAAAAATAATTCCAGTTTAATCAAATCAACAAAAATAATCATAAGTCATATTTAACATGTAATTAAAATTTTTTTAAAATGTAGGCCAAGCAATAGTAATTTTCTCTGAGCAAATTATATTACTTAAACACATAAATTTGTCTGTAATAAAGTAATCTAAACAAAAATACATTTGATTTCAGTCAAAATGAACCTGCATCCTCTAAAATAAGCATTAAATAACTACAGTATATTATTATTATTCCTTAACAAATTTATCCTTCATTCATTTTTCTGATATTTTATCTTCTGCCTCATCCTTTTTCTTTATTTCTTTGAGCAAAACTATTTCTCAGCCACTGAAAATGAATTTGCTTCCTTTCTATTCACCATCTCTATTTTAGACCTCTTCCTATATCCCTATCTTTCAAATGTTCTTTCCTAATCTATGTTAATCTTAACTCACTTTCTCAGACTATTAGAAAAAATTAGAAAAAATAAGACTCCTCATTTATGTTCCTTCTTCTTTACCATCTCTTCCAATCCTATTGAGTTAATTCTTTTTTTAACTAATCTCATGAGTTTTCCAAACTTTCTCTCTTAATATTCTCATTATTTTTCTATAATACTTTAATCTTTATTTATGTGCAAATGTATTCTTATAAATTCCTGTTATATCCTATTTCTCTCTCCATTCTTGGTCTTTTTTCAACATCTGAAAAGTACAAAATTTCTCCTCTCTGCAAATTTTTGCATTTATTGTTTTTTCTAAGTTTTTTTTAACTGTTACAATGTTAAATGTTGCATTCATAGTTTGATGAATTCAACATTCTCACTCTCTCTCTCTTTTCTAGCCACTCCTTTTTTAATCTGTTCATGCTATCTACCAATAGCATCATAGACTGCTTTCTTTTAAGACAAGTGATGAAATTCAGTACCTTGCCTGGGAGTAAACAAATATTTCCTTGAATTTAAGAAATTAAACATGTTTTGAAATTTGCAGAAATTGCTTTTAGCCCTTAGTATAATTAAATTAATTAATTAAAATATCTATAACCATAAGGTAGATAATAGGAAGGGCTTATCACACCAATGACAACCTTTGTCATTGGTGTGATAAGCCCTTCCTATTATCTACCTTATGGTTATAGATATTTTAATTAATTAATTTAATGTTTTGAAATGTGCAGAAATCATGGAATTAAAAAGAAAATTGTTTCAGAAACAATTAAAAAAGTATGAATATGGAAGAATCTAAAAAGAGAGATGATGACAAAGGATGCAAACTCTTTACTACTAGTGACTTTTGTATGAATAAAATAAAACAGAAGACAAATACTAAACAGGGAGTGAAAAATACAATGACTAAAGAATAATGATATAATTTATTTTATGCTAATATTAGAGATAATAAACTTTTTTAGCAGATACAAATTCACTCTGATTGAATAGCCTTAGTGTATTTCTGATTGGATTGTTTTATTACAGACAAACATTATTAAATTTAATCAATCATATAGAAAATCTTTAAGTGACATGATTTGCTCGAAGATTAGCATTGTTTGGTTATGTAAAGCTAATTTTTTTCAATTATATATATATATATATATATATTTAAATTACACATTAAGTGTGACTAAGTTTAATTGTGATGATGATTATTATTTATTTACTTTTTGTATGCTTACATACTACTAATGCTACTTTATTTTATTATTTAAATTTAAATATTCATTTGTTATATTTAAATAATTAGATAAATTAATTCAAGAAATAATTAAGCAACTTCAATTAATTTGTTCATGTTATTGTTTGTTTTATACCTTGTCAATTTATCATTAAAGAAATATTTGATGTTCTAAAAGTTTTGTACTTTTGAAAATTAATTTATATGAAAATAAAAATTTTTTTGTTTTACTTTTAAATAATAATATATAAAGTTATAAAAGAACTAGATTTACTATGAAAGACCTAGTTATGTTTTTGTCTTTTTTTTGGTATAATAAGGAATTGGAATAAATGTTATAGAAATTTTTTCAGTTTGTTTCATTTTTAGCATTTCTTAAAAATACTCATAGAATTATTTAATTACTTTTTAAAAAATTCTTATTGCTTGAAGAAATTTTTATAAGTTTACATATTTTGTACTGAAAAATGTATAATAGAACATATACATAATGACAGTTTCATTGTTTGCATCTGAGATAAGAATTGTGGCCTAAAAAAAAATGTGGAATTTTTTCCATCTGTATTTTGTCTATTATTTTACTTTTAAATTAGCTTAAAAATTATTTAAGTTATATACATGCATTTTGGATCTTTAACACACTACTTTATTTATTATATCAAACTATCAGAAAAATTGAATAAAAGAACCAGCATAAAATATATATCCTTAAAAACCTCTTCTGAGTACAGAAAAAATGTTTGTGTAATATTATTTAGGAAAAAAGAGTAAGTAAAAAACTTAGAATTACATTATTTTGAATAGTATTTTATATTTTTTTATTACATTATTGTACATAAAGTAAAGCATACTGTTGTAATTACAGAGAATATAGAATTAAATAAAGAATATGTTTTTAATTCTTAAAAAATTACTAAATAAGTAGATAAAAATAAAAATTTGAAACTACTATATCATTTATTGATAGCAATTTCATTTTCAAATAAATGGCAAAATTTGAAAAACTTAATCATGTACTGCTAATAAATTATGAATAAAAAGGAATATGCTAATGTATAACTAGTAATATATGTAATTCCTTAGTTTTTTTAAACCATTTTAACATTTTTAACTTATTGTTAATCATATATCACATGTGATATTTGATCAGCAATATGTTAAATATATTTTTACTGAAGAAATACTTAACAAATAATTAAAATAAATAAATATATATATATTAAAAACAGATTAAATCAGAAAATAATTTTAAACATTTAACTTATATTTTATTAATTCTTACTTATTCATTTTTTTCTTTGCATTTAAAAAATCTTGTCTTTCTTGATCAAGTTTACTATGTAATTCTTGCAACTGATTATCTACATATCTGTACAAGCATCTGATTTCTTTCAATTTGCGAGCACTTATTGGATCTAAAGCACGACTTTTCAAAAGAGAATAGTATAAAGGATCTTTACTTTTCATTTCTCGTGAGCGAGCATCTTCTATCATTGCAAAAGTTTCTAGTACTAATGATTTCAAATTATGCAAATCTAGAGAAAGAGACTATATAAAAGTTTTGAAATTATTATTATTATTTAAAATATATTTATATTTTAAAATTTTATTTTGATAAATATAATACCTCCACATTTTCTCTAATTTCTATATCAAATGCTTCCAATTTAGTCATCTTTGTCTTGAAATTTTTCATTTCTTCCTTATTTCCAATATTTACTTTAAAATTTGCTATTTTTGTCTGTAAATTTTGGACTTCCTTTTGAAATTTTGCTACCTTTGAAAAAAATAATATGAACAATTTATAATTTAAAGAAAATGATTTATGTATAATTTATAATCAAACTGAATACCTCATTTTGAACAAGCAAAACAAGTGCTTGCTGAGTTGTAATATCTTCAGAAGTTTCCTATTAAAAATTTTTAAATTATTTCACATCATTTTAAATCCAATAATCTTACAATTTCTAAATTGTGAATACATTGCATAAATCATATCAGTTAATTTACTAGCACAAAATCAAAAATATAAATGACTCCTACAGTAACATCTATCAGTATATCAATAATTTAAATATCTTGAAATGAAATAATAACTTTGTAATCTGGATATTCTAAAAATGAATATTATGGTATTAAGATATAATAGTCACAGATAAAGAAAAATTTATATGAAAATTATGTATTACTATACAAGCAACAATCATCTTGTCAAGATTATCTTTGCTGTAAGTTAAAGCAAATTTAAATATTTTAAGCCAACACAATATAATAGTAAAAGCATTTTCTATCACTCTTCTCCCACTTCAACACATATAATAATTATAAATTCTTTGCATGTTGGTAAATATAGAACATCTTGAGTAGAGACAATTAAATTTGATTGTAGAAGAAAAGCTTCATCTCCAACAAAGCACACAGGGAATTCTTTATTCATATGTGGCAATTTCACCAATGGTACATAAATCCAAATGAAAAATACATTTTCCTAAATTAAAATTTTGAAAAATGTCACCCTCACTTTTGCTTCCAGTGCATTTAAAATCAATTCATAAAAATTTGTATTTTGAATCTCATACAACTAATATTAATTTTAATTAATTGCCATAATTAATTGAGCCATTTTTTGCTACTATTAATAATTAGAAATTAAGTAAATTTGGCACTAGAGATGGACATTAAGTGCCATCTCTTATTTAAATTAACAATTATAATGATTTAAAATTTATTAATTAAATAATTTAGAACAGTCTGAAAAAAAAAGTTATGTGAATGGTTATACCAGGATTTAAATATGTCTGGAAATGAAAAATTGCTTGGTGATCTGAATGGCAACTGGGTAATATACTACACAGTAAGCAGAAATTGCAGGTTTGAATCCCACTCTGAGTCAATTCTTTTCTTCCAGACAGTTCTAAATTATTTAATAAATTTTAAATTATTATAATTATTAGTTTTGATAACAGTTGGCACCTAACATCTACATTTAGCAAATACCTTGTCATTCAGATATAGTTCACGAATCAAATGCCTGCCAAAAGTATAAGGTAAGCATTACTGAAATATTTTACATAACCAAAAGGCATTTCTTTTTCAAGTTTAGATAAGTATCAATTGATAATATAAAATAGGCTAGCTGATTGGAAATACTGAATCATCACTACATTTAAGCCAGTAGTCATGTTTGTTTATAACTTTGCATTTCTATACAAGCACTAGATGGTATTATATATTTTGTTTGGTCATCTAATGTATTGATTGCTGTTCAAGAAAAGGAAACAGAAAACTGAGAAACATTTTCTGCACAGATCCTTAATATGTTCCTATTTTAATGTATTTTATTTTTAAATGAAATATAATACTGAAAACACATTTTTTTTAAATTCAAAAATGACTCAATAAAATACTTTATGAAAAATTTAAAAAATTTATATAAGAGAAAATGAAAAATAATTTTATCAAAAAAATATTTATTATTATTTTTATTTAATGTACTAAAACAAAATAATATAAAAAATAGGGTTTTAGTAGATTTTAATAGGCTTTAGATTTCATATATTTAATTTCTTGATATAATTTTTATATAAAGTACAAAAAAATTATTTAAAATATTTGAAAAGTAAGTTTAAATTTTTTCTTACTTTTTCATCTTCTATTTCCACTTGTTTTTTTGATTCTTCTTTTGAAATTCCTTCTTTACATGCTGATTTAACCTCATTATCTGATTGTTTTGGAATTAAATCTACTTTATCCATTGTAATTTTGGATGAAACATCTTTTGCCTCTGTAATTTCTGATTGTATTAAAAAAAATTTATCATAAAAAATCATTCACTCATATATAAAATAATTTATATTTTAATCACTTCTATTATGATAATTTAAGATGTAATTTTATTTTAATAAAATATTAAAATGAGATGAATTAATTTCTAAGGAATGTAGATTTCAATTAATTCATATATTATTTTCAAACAGAAATATTGTATTATATTTCAAATAAAACTATGATTTTACGAATAATTTGCATTAAATTAAATAACAATTTCAAAACTATTTTCTCTATATCAGAATTATATAATTTAAAGCCACTATATATAATTACAGTAGAACCCTGATAAGTAATGTTAACTGATGTTACCACAACCATTTGAATTAAGAATTATCATAAAATATTTATATTGTGTTTCACTTTTAAGCTCTTTTATACAATCCATTGTAAATTTAATCATATCTTTGAAAAATTTTAATAATACAGTCGACCCCCCATAACACGGGTTCTTATAGTTCAGATTCCTATATCACGGTGAAAAAATTGCAACAGTATTCGTACAAACATGCTAAAAAACTCCTATAATTCAGTAAAATGTCATCGCCAACTTGTGTTGCGACAGGATTGGTCGAATCTAGACCAATAGCGGATATTGTACAAACTGTTGAGTTTAAACGAGTAGCGGACCTACTAAAAACCATTTATTATTTAACGCCCATAAAAATTATATTTATATTAATGATGTCTCCAAAGTTCAGCGGATTTTTCGCAAAAAAAAATAATTTATCAGGAAGCATGCAAGTTCCATTCAATGACAAGCTCCACGACAAAAACAAGCTTAAGCAATGGCGTAGGTGAACAGTGCATGCTCGGTAAGTAATCCTACAATTTTTTGTTTATAGCATAGTTTATATGAATTATTCCCAAAAAATTATACGTATTTTGGAAATGTTGAGTCAAATTAGTCGATTAATTTTATGGAAGAAACCTTTCAAACAGCTGTAGTCCGTAAACTGCACGTGCCGGGCTGTGATTGGCTGCACTCATAGAAAATGGATTCATAAAAACCAGAACGTATCTACCATGTTATAGGGGGTCGACTGTATTTATTACACAGCTAATATATACAATAGGTTTAAGTAAATTATTGTAGTTACATTTTAATATGAATGTATTATATAACATTGAAGTTAAATAATAAAAGGTGCCAGAAGAAAATCATTCTGTAATACATTAAACTTCTTTTTTGAATTACAATATAAGAACAATAGTGTATTCACTTGCAAGTTTGCCTCATATAATGCAGAATCTCAGATAATTAGGTTCTAGTGAATTTATCTTTTCTATCATGCTAATTTCCTTATGTAAGTCTTGAAATACAACAATGCACTTTAAATCAATGAGTGTCAAAATGGAGTGTGTATAAAAAAATGTTTAGGTTAAACAAGAAAATTTGCAATTGGTTAATACTGTTTTTAGCATAAAGTTAGTTCATAATTTTAAAATAGTAATACATAGGATGACTGAAGAATCTTTTTCTAATACGGTATTTAGGCATATATGCTTTGATATGATCACTTAACGTACACAAGTTACTTTTATTTAAAATCTAAAGCTCTAAACTTTCCTAATGAATTTTGATATATATTGCACTGTACAAGCTATTTTTCCTTACTGATAAAGAAATGTGTCATTATAAAGGTGGTTTGCTGATCACTACTTTAAATGATTATTATTCTTCAATCATCTATATTATAACATATTTATTGAATAATTTTTAATTTGGAAATAGACAAATTTATCATTGAAAAAAACAATTTTTAATTATTAAAATTTGATAAATATATTGTTGCTATAATCAGCTATTGAATATTCATTGTCTATACCAGTGTTTTTCAACCTGTGGGGTTAAACAAGACCCATATGTAAGGCTTTGCGACCCCCTGGGGGTCGCAAAGCCTTACACGGGGGTCATGGGTGAAAGAAAAAGACAAGTGTTTGTAGGTCCTACACTACAATAAAAAAACTCTAGAATTTCAGTGAGAAGGCCGTGCCTGTTTATTTTATAATACAATTGGTTTTTCGATCGATATTTAAAGAAAGAAAATTAAA